TCCAACTTTAATTGATCCCCAAACAAGAAGGGGTCCAATTTCATTGTTCAACCATTACTTATTTTCAAAAAATATATATTTCATTGTTCAAAAACAGGTGTCAGATATCCTTAGATTCAGCTGTTTAAGTGTTTTTATTAGGAAACAAAAAAAAAATTCTGAGATCTAAAGCCAAATGTCACAATTTTACTTTGACAAAGACCAAACAAAAGAACCCACCTGGACACTATCGTAACCAGCGAGGTGAAGAAGAGCATACTGCAACATGCACCCATGACCGGCAGACAAAACAAACCGGTCTCTGTTGAACCAATACGGGTTCTTCGGATTATACCTCATGACCTCATCGTACAATATGTGACCCATCGGGGCACATCCCATGGGCAGGCCAGGGTGCCCCGAATTGGCCTTCTCTACTGCATCAATTGCCAAGAACCTGATCGTGTTGATCGACTTCTCCACAAGGGAAGCCTCTGCGGTGGCATCGAGTGTCTCAACTACAGCAGCACGGACTTGGCGGAGCTGACGGGTGGGGAGGCGGCGGCTGGAAGTGGCGCTGCGTGGGGCCATGGATTTGAGGCCAAAGAAGGCGGGAAAAGAGTGGGGGGAGAAGGAGATACGGTTGTCCGGTGATTGACGGAAGGCGTGGTAGGAGATGGCTTGAGCCTGGAGGGCTTGGGATAGGGTGAGAGATGAAGTTGAGGCCATTTTTGGGTGATGATGAAAGAACGTCCCCTCTGATTTGATAACGTGGAGTGAGACGGGGAAGAGGAGTTTAGATATTTATTCCAATATGAAGGTTGAAAAGTAGGGATGGCAGCGAGTCGGATGAGAGCGGGACCTCCTCCTTGTCTTTATCTCCCGTCGATGACAAGTATGGGGATTTTTTGCGAAGGGTCAAAAATGACTTTTGCTTTTATATTTACCGGGAATAATAGGTCCAGAAGGTATTTGAATTTCTTATTAAATATTAAATATATAGAATTCAATTTTATATTTTTCTTGATAAATAAAATAAATAAAAATTTAAAACAATTCAAACAAATAAATATATTAACATAATGTGCAACAAAACAATATTTAGTATCTAATTGCAGCAAATGCACACTGTCATATATGTTTAATAGGTCCAATAACAAGTTCATAAAAAAATACATGAATTATCATACATGTCCATGTTGGGTTGAATTATTGAGTTAGGTTTGAGAAGATTAGAATCAGAAAAGAAATTAGGTTAGACAAATTAGGTTAGGTTGGATTAAC